TCTCCCTGCCACTAGTGCTGTCCCTACACTATCCACTTCACAAATGTGTGCCAAAACCTGGGGGCAGGGACTTAAAAAGACTCTTTGTGACCCAAGATGGCTACCAGGGTCACCTGGATGCAGCATAGCCAACTGGAACCCTGCTCCATGGAACCGAGGGAACCATAGAGAAACCAAATTTCTCTTGACTTCTCCTCCAGCTGCAGTACCGCTTCAGATGAGCACCACGTACAGTGGAGAAAATAGACTGAACCTGTCTACAGGGTGGCAAGCATGTGGCCCTGCTCTTGAACCAAATCAGGCCACTTACCTTTAACACAGAAGGGTATATTGCTGGGTGGAACCACCTGGGAAAACACCTTGTCTCCATATTGATGAGGACAATGGCCTCTTCCCCACAACCCTGGTCTGGTGGTGTAGGGGATCTGCATTTTATTAAAATCTGGAAACCCCATTACCAATAGGGGGGCACCCAGATACTACCCCCCACCCCCACTTTTTTTCATGTAGTCTCAGAACATGAGATGATATATTTCCAATATGAAGGAAATAGCCTTAGACAGTTGTCATGGGAATAATTGTCTCCATTGGAAGATTTCCCAATTTTGTTGTGGACTAGAAGTCATTATCCAACCACTCTCCAGCACTAGTCATATCAGAGTGCTACATTAATGGGAATGTACAGCCCTGGACAAAAGGTTCCTGTATGTGTTGGTTTATAGAGGACAGTGGAAGAGGAATGTTGTGCACAGGTGGGAGAGAATTTATTTTTTTTAGCTTCAAATGGAGTTAGTAAGTGGCATTGACTTGCATTTCCTGTCTCAGGGCCACAACAGGATGTAATTGCAAATTTTTCCAAAATGAGGAGATCTGACACATTGGTACTGCCAACTGTCCTTATTGGAGAATTTCCTATCTACTCCTTTTCTGGAGACAGCCCCTGCCTTTATCATTGTCACTAGAGCAATGGGACTCAATAAGAAAAACCTGACAGAGCTTTAAACTTTCAAAACACTTTAAAAAGTAGAAAACAATAAGGTTTTGGCTGGTTTTCTACTTTAATTACTGTTGGGTCCCATGCTTGAGGACTACGGACAATTAGTTCTTTTTTTGCCTTATGTGTGAACCCTACTGTTGCCTTCCTTAGTGTCTCTCAGTTGAGGTCTCAGTAAATAAAATGTTCCTATATAGCCAACAATCTGAGCCTCAACTCAGCCCATAGTGATCTCTTTTTGCACAGCGTCTAACAAGAACATAATGCAAGATGACGCGAAAACGGCCGCATATAATTAGGCTGACTTGCCAATGAGGAAGTGATTTTCCCGCTGCTATTGTAATTGAGAACGAAAGGCTGAGGGTTCGCCAACCAGAAGGAAATTGTATTTTCCATTACTCCTTGCATGCACATCTTTTGGCTTCTAATTGTTACTTGAACGGCAAGTGACATTACCTGGCATATGCATGGAGAGCGGTCATGACACAGCAGGCTGGGCCGTGGAATTATGCAAACTGGGGGGGAAGGGGGGGGGGGGCAAGGAAAGAATCGTCTATTGAGATGCAGACGGGCTAGGTTGGCACAAGGCCAAGCCTGAACATTTTAATGAGACTTCTGCAACATTCTAACTGGAAACACATGACGTTTTAATTGTTCTACTCTCTGAGAAAAAGCTGAGCAGCTTAATGTACATTGTAGAAAAAAAGCAAAGGTGTCGTAGCTGTAGCCTGTTTAGGTCAGGTTTTAATTTGCCTATTTATTGCTCTTTGAATTGATTTTTCTGGTTACAAGTGAGCATGGAAAATATAAATGTGTGCTCTTTCACTTAATAGCGGCTGAAGAATTGCTCTGTAAAGGTCTTAGTAGGATCTACTCCTTACTTTTAGTTCATAATCCCAAGTGAGACCCCCCCCCTTCCGATACAGGAGGGGTTATATAAAACATAGTCACCTCGTATTGATAACTGATCATCACACCAATCAACCTTTGAAAACATTTTTACAAACACTTGACTGAACAATTTACAGTGCTAAACCCTCACCTTGTAAAACAACCCATACAGTTCTAAATAGAAATGAAAGGTACATTTGCGTATAGATATAAAAACATTATAAATACCTTTTTCCCCTTTTTTTATAAGTGATAAAATTCCCTCTGTTCTTACCTGCACAGAGAGGTATAGGTGGAGAAACAGCAGCACATTGATCTTCCCATTGAATGGCTGTGCGGGGCGGGGGGGTGAGTCAGGACAATTCTGACCATTGAAGCAGAGCAGACTGAGTTTCAAGCAATGCTAGGAAACTGACTACACTGTGATCTCATGCATAGTGTAGTCAGTTTGTGGGAAAGAAGAGGGACTGGCAGGAACACAAAGAGAACAGGATACTTTTTTATACAAGTACTTGGTACAGCAGGCACATATCAGGAATAGTGATGGGCCGAATACCTCCTTGTTTGCTTCGCAGTTGAACATTCGAACCTAACGAAAGTTCGACTGCGAACTTTGAACTTAATGCAAGTCAATGGGACTCGAACTTGGAAATTTAAAAGTGCCCATTTTGAAAGCTTATATGCAAGTTATTGGCCATAAAAGGGGTATTGGGACTCGGGTACTGCCAAGAAAAAAAAAACAGTGCAGGATCCCCTTTAGATCTAGGAGGAAGATTAGGACTGACCCCACAGTGAAAAGTTTTTTATTTAAATGAGCATGGAGTTCCCCTAAAAGCCATTCCAGGACCTTTAGGCCTGGTAGGACTTTTAAGGTGAGCCCCACCTCCCAAAAATGGGGGAAAAATGTGTGTAAGGTCCCCCCTACAATTCCTACCAGACCCTTGATCCGAGCACAGGCCTGGCAGGCTAAGAAAGGAGGGGACAAGCAAGCACCCCCTTCCCCTCCTGAACCTTACCAGGCCACATGTCCTCAACATGGGGGGTGTTTTGGGGTGGGGGCTTCCCCCCCGAAGCACCTTGTCCCCATGTTGATGGGTAAAAGGACCTCTTCCTCACAACCCTGGGCTGTGGTTGTGGCGATCTGAGGGGGCTGCCTTATTGGAATCTGGAAGTCCTCTTTAATGAGGGGGCCCCCAGATCCCGGCCCCTCCCCTTGTGAATGAGCATGGGGTACATAGCACCCCTACCCATTCACCAAAAAGTGTACAATGTGATTAAAAACACAACTACAGTTTTTGTCAAATCTTTTATTTAAAAAAAAAAAGCCAAAAACATTGCTCCATCTTTGTAATCCATTGTCAGTCATGGCATCCAGCGTTGTCATGATGCCGCCGATTCGCTGAAATAAAAAAAAAGAATGCCCGCATCTGCACCCATTGAGCACTTGCTGCTATCTGACATTTGCGAGTCATATATAAACAGTTGGGCGCTAGCTCCGCCCAATTGCACTGTCATTGGCCAAAGCATTGCACCTACTCCTACTGCAAAGCTTCTGGGCCTTCCTATAAGGAACTGTGGCTAAGACCCCACTCACACTTGTGTGACTTGTCATGCGACTTTGGAAATCAAATTCACATGACAAGTCATAACCCATGTTTTCCAATGATAACCATTCACATATGTGCGACCTAAAGTTGCAGCAACTTCAAAGTAGTTCTTGCTCTACTGCTAATGCAATGCAATGCCAAGCTGCGGTTTCTAAAGGAGCAAAATCCTCTCTTGTATTAGGAGAGGTATAGACTCCAGAGAGAGAGATATCATATTACCCCGGTACAAATCATTAGTAAGACCTCATCTGGAATATGCAGTTCAGTTTTGAGCACCAATTCACAAAAAGAACATTGGGGAACTGGTGAAAGTACAGAGAAGGACAACCAAACTGATAAGAGGCATGGAGGAGCTCAGCTATGAGGAAAGATTAGAGGAACTGAATTTATTCTCTCTTGAGAAGAGAAGATTAAGGGGGGATATGATCAACATGTATAAATACATAAGGGGGAGGATATTATCAACATGTATAAATACATCAGTGGATCATATAGTGAACTCGGTGTAGAGTTATTCACCCTGAGGTCATCACAGAGGACAAGGTGGCACTTATTACATCTGTAAGAAAAGCAATTTAATCCTAGATTCTTTCTTAGATACACAGAATATAACTGGATACTAACATTTAGAGGTAAAGTTGATCCAGGGAATATCCGATTTCCTCTAGGGGGATCAGGAAGGAATTTTTTTTCCCAGCAGGAGCAAATTGGATCATGCTTTTCTGGGTTTTTTGCCTTCCTCTGGATCAACTGTGGGTATAGGATTATAGGTTTTTTTTTTTTTTAATGGTTGAACTGGATGGACTTTTGTCCTTTTTCAGCCAGACTAACTATGTAACTATGTAATGTGGTCTGACTATCATGCAACTTGAGGGCCATAGACTTCCATGTTAACCCTCAAAAGTTGCATGAAAGTTGTACTGGAATGTTTTACATGCAACAGTGGCGCAAGAGTGGGGCCAACTTTGCTGAGGGAAAAGTCACATCCAAGTCGCATCCATCCAAAGTTGCGTCATAAGTTGCACTCCAAAGTCATGCCAAAGACTAAATACAGGCACATTTCACAGGGTTATATTCAATTTTGTATTGTTGTCCCTAGTCTCCCGGGGAGATTTTTCTCCATTTCCTGTCTCTGTGACAGCAGAACAAGAAATAATGGAGTGGTTGTCACTTGGAAAAAAGAAGGAAGAGTAATAATAAATCGAGAGAGTTTCCGACTTTGCCTATTTGTTATTGTTGTTGTGATACAGTCTGGGTCCCCACTGCAGAAATTTACCCTTTCTTCTTCACCTGACAGAAAGCAAGAAGAAATGTTCCCAGTGGGGACACAAACTGCAAATAAAAAACTTGACAGAGGTTCTTTTCCTTGGACACTCTGCCACTTTGGTTGGATTTATGCTTCAATGCAAAATGCCATATTTTCCAATTGTTCCAACATATTAGTAAAGAGTGCTGTATGGTTACTGAAATGAAATAATAAATAATTATTTGTTTTTTGTTTTTTTAAGGTGCCTCAGAGCTGGGTCCATTTTCAGATCCCAGGCAGTTTACAAGCATTTCTTCATTAACGGAGAGTCGCTTCTCTAACCCACGAATGCACTACCCTGCCACATTTACTTACACTCCGCCAGTCACCTCAGGGATGTCGTTGGGTATGTCTGCAACCACTCATTATCATACTTACTTACCACCTCCTTATCCCGGCTCCTCCCAGAACCAAAGTGGACCCTTTCAAACCAGCAGCACTCCTTATCTCTACTATGGTACATCATCTGGATCCTATCAGTTCCCTATGGTCCCAGGGGGTGACCGCTCTCCGTCTCGGATGCTTCCTCCATGCACCACTGCCAATGGCAGCACATTGCTAAACCCTAATCTGGGCAACCAGAATGACGGTGTTGACGCAGATGGCAGCCACAGCAGCTCCCCCACTGTGTTAAATTCTAGTGGTCGTATGGATGAGTCAGTTTGGAGGCCTTATTGATCATATGCTCCTTCCTGTGGCCTTAGACTATTTCAAACATTACTTTTACGAAAATCAATACGTGCCTTAATCCTTTTATATACGAATTCATATTTTGAGTGTGACTCAGAAAGACCTTGAAAATCTCAAGCAATACAACTTACCAATCAACAATCGTGCCATTTTTGTTAAAAAAAAAAAAAAAAAGGGCTAGAAGCCACATTGCCTTAAACTATTTCTTTTTATTAATATTTATATTGAACTGAAGCATTCCAAAGAAATTATAGTTTTTATGAGTACGAAAATAAACATCGTCAGATGTGACTTTTTGTGGGAGAAAAAAAAAGGAGAAAATTTTAGGAATTTAAATGAACGTGCTTTATGCAATACCAAAAATGCTGAAACCTGCCTTACGTACCGAAAAAAAAAGGGAATTTTTCAAGTGATACAGAAAGCTGCACAAAATGTACGTCTTATGAAATTTTTTTGTTTTATATCATTTCTGGATGATGGTACAGACTTTGAACATTGCAAAATGCACTTATCTCTTATCTCAATTTTATTTTAATGCCTTAAAACAAAGCAAACAAAAAACATATACAATATGAATAAAAACATTGCCTATGTAAACGAAACAAAAACACAAAAAAAAAAAACAGAAGCAGCAATATTAGCTCAAAACATATGAATTTTTAATGTTTATTTTTAAATTATCTGTATGTATAAACTTTGTTTTTTGTTTATTTTTTTTTGTTTTTTTTTTTACTAATTTTGACATCTTCGCATTTTTAATTTATGATTATTTAATAATATTTGGACCCTTCAAGTGTTTGTTATGTTAAAATATTCTGATAGGTCCCTAAATATGTATTGTCATTTATTTCACAGATTTTTTGAAAGGTTCACAAGCTGATAGTACATGCAAGTGTATAAGCAAAGACTGATGGTTGTGTGTCTCTGCTCAGTGAAGCCACAGGTTTTGTGGACTAAACCCCAGTATATCAAATAAAGACTTTTGGGTACCCAGTGAAGTCACTGGTAGCTAAGGAATTTTGTAATATCATGATTATTGGGTTGAGTTCACAAAATGGCCATTCTCAGGGGACAAGGAAACTTTACAGGGGCTTTCTGCTATTTTTTGTTACTTACCTTCAGCTGGAAGGGCTAACATTTTTGTAGAAAACCATGTCTGCTAGCTTCCTCCATAAGGATGAAAAGCTGGGCAGATCCAGACTGCATTCTGTAATTGGATCCTGCTAAGACCTACCTCGAAGAGATGTGGGGCGTACCAAAGTAAGCACTGGGTCCAAACAGAGACCTTCATTTTCTTCAATGTAGAATTTGGAGTGTGGTGGGGGGGGGGAGGGTTCTGGTAGGAAATTAACCTGAGAGAGATAAACAGTACTCACCCTCATGGCCCTTGCTTGCTGCAAGTCTTCTTGTGTTTCTCATTTGGGCCCAATATCCATTTACTGCAAGTTCCAGTGAAAGGTTTCATGGGGTGGAAGCTTACCAGAGGCTGATCATCCCAAGATTAATGAGCTTTGGGACTTGCAGGAAGCATATCTGTACTATTTAACACTTCTACTCACTTACCCTGAACCCTGTGGTCCTCCATATTTTATGGAAACAAGAAGTCTTAGTACTTGGGAGGTATGCAATTTGGAGGCCTTCAAGGGGGCATAGCTTGTACAAAATGGAACCCTGTGGTCCTCCATATTTTATGGAAACAAGAAGTCTTAGTACTTGGGAGGTATGCAATTTGGAGGCCTTCAAGGGGGCATAGCTTGTACAAAATGGAAGTGGTTCAACCAGATATTTTCTGGTTGATGAGTTGGACTGGGCAAATGTTCTGCAAGTTAGCTGGGGGTCTTACAGATGTCCATATTTTGAAACAGAAGGCACAGCAGTGAAAAAATATCAGTGTAACATCTCTCAGTGGTGTGTTTCATTAATCCTTTTTTTTTTTTTTTTTTTTAAAGAAAACCCCTTTAATAGCCCTTTAGGAATTGCAACTTGCAATTCTGTCTCTTTAGGGGTTATTTACTAAAAGTGCACGGTGCAAAACCTGTTGCAGCTCTCCATAGAAACCAATCAGCTTCCAGGTTTTATTGTTAAAGCTTAATTGAGCAAGCTGAAGTTAGAAGCTGATTGGCTGCACCAAATTCTGAGTGCTCCGGTTTTAGTAAATGTCCCCCTTTGTGTCTTCATTGAGCATACAGATGTAAAATGTACTATTCTGGGAATCTACGTACAACGTGCTGGAATGTCATCTAATGACAGGGTACATTTAAATATTTTGGCCTGAGCTAAAAAAAAAAAAAATAAAAAATGCAAACATTATGTAGCAACATACAGATCAATTCACTCAAAAGTGTTTGAACTCATTTAAAGCTTTAAGCACTATTGTCGTTGTTATATGTAAAAGTATGCACTGCCTCTGTTATGTTCTTGCACTTCTCTGTTCCAAAGATTTGGCTTGTTTCTTGTCCTGAAAATCGATTCATGTATTTAGTTATGAATAAACGGTACACGCACTTACTGATCATGGGTTCACGTAGATGCTGTAAAATGTCACATTTTATGGTCATTCAAAAATATCTGTTTGACTACAAGTGTTACCTCAATAGAGGTAAGGTATGTACACAGGTACCGGTACTGGTTGCACTGCCATAATAAACATTTTTGTGTGCTCAGGTTCGGTTTTAGGAACAAGCTGCTGCCTAAGGCACAATTCTGCATGGGGCTCCATTTTGAACCATGAATATATGGTATCAGTCTCAACCTTAGCTGCACTTATTGAACCATGTTTTGTTTGCAAACATGTATTAAAGCATCATTTACCTTCTTGTTGCCTTGTTCTGGATCATGCCTTTTGAAACAAGGGGCACACTTTTGACTATTATAGGCTGAGCGTAGCAATATTCTCATCACAGGTGTCAAGCAGTGAGTCCACCACACTGTGCTATGGTACAACTTGTTAACCCTTTGAGGACCGTAAGATTTTGGAACGCCAAAAGAATCAATTTTTTTGTTTTTAAAGTTCGTACACTTCAGTTGCTGTAACTAAGCCATTTCATGAAATAATTGGCAAAAAGCTAGATCCATTTGTTGTTTGTTGATAAGAACTAATATTTTGACTCAAACCAAAAAAAAAAAAAAGAGTTTTAAGTTCTTAATCAGATGATCCACGCAATTAAAAACATGGGACAAATACGTCCCTTGGTCCTCAAAGGGTTAAGGGTCTTGGGTGATCCAAGCACCAGGCCTTCCCAATGATTCAAGTCTCCTTCTTGGAAGCACTTTGGTGTTCTGGAAACACTAATTGCTGAACTATGTGGATATGTAAGGCCACGTTTCTTCATCACCACCTAAAGTAGGCTTCTTGCTCTCTCTTACAAGGACAGATAGGGAAGTTTCAGAGTACAGAACAACATGATGGAATAAAACTTCTTCCAACAGCAACGAGTGTTGCAGGTTAGTTCTTAGGAGAAAAGTACATTAAATTCTGATTAGGGTAAATCGAGGGTCATTTTTAGCTCAATTAAAAATACGTTCTTAAAATCTTTAGCAGTTTACTGATTAATTCTATATGTTGTGGTTAAAGTGAACCTATAAAGAAATATGGAAGCTGTCATTGCTGACTTTCTTGCAAGCTTGGGACTGTCATCCTGATGCTGGCTCCATTACCTGGGGTGCTCAACCTTTAGCGAGGGCCACTTAAAGTGTTACTAAACCCACAACAGTAAAAATCAGTCTCTATATGCACTAAAGCATGCTTGTTATGCTCACTGTGGAACTTAAGGTGTTAATCCTCTGCATTGTGTAAAAAGGATGTTTGATCCTGTCTTCTCTGATCCTCCCCTTCTGTCCCTAATCCATATGCTGATAGAACAGAGCCTTGGGGGTAAGCTGCACATGCTTAATTTGGTGTGTATTGCTAGAGTTTTTTTTTTCCCTTGGGAGAGTGCATGTGATCAGCACAGGGCCAATCAGCACTGTCCAGAGGGTCAGAGGTAATGCAGTGTCATAGGGCAATCACAGGAGATGAAAACTCCTCCTACAGGCTTTAACCAGTGCTCTGCTGGACACTGGTAGAAGTCACAGGACTTCTATATGCTGCTGATGAGAAAAGGTATTTAGCAGTTTATATTTATTAAAATAATTGCATTTCCATGTTGTGTGTACTGTGGGAGACCAGATATACTGAATGCAGGGTCCTGGGTTTAGTAACACTTTAAGTAATTTGATAACTGGTCACAGGTCACAATGAAATGAAATGATTCAGAATTTCAAATTTTTAATTTTGAATTTTCTCGTGCAGCTGAGATGGAGAGGAGGAGAAGTTGTATTTCAGCATTTGCAGGAGGAAAATGGGTAGGATTGGTTCCTGTACATGCCGCCCCTCCTGTCCAGGTGTAAAACAGAATGTGACAGAGAGGCTGCATGGACCCCCTGGGGCATTGGGCGGGGTTGCCATTGCACCCCCAGTGGTTGGGGGTGTGTGGTAAAAACATGTCTCAGCTATGTTGTTTTACCTTCCCCCGAACTACAAACGTAAACAATCTCTTACTGTTCTGAGCCCCCTATATAAGGCTGCTTTCGCAATGATGCGCAGTGCACCTGTGGGCTAGGTGTGCTTTGCCATAGACTTCTATTATATCGTGCGGGTGTGGAGCACTTTCTTAAAGCGCACCAAACCCCCAGAATATAATAGAAGTGTGCTTTCCTGGTATGAGATGGAGAGCCACATCAGAGAGCTCCGAGGGCCACATGTGGCCCCTGGGTCACAGGTTCAGAACCCCTGACCTAGGGAGTCATTGAACTGGAGCCACCATGGTGAATTTGTTTCACAGTTTTGAGCCTTTACTGGCTTCATGCTTGTTCCAATTAAGTGACTCATTAAGGAGTGCAGTCCAATTAAGGATGACAGCCCATAGGATATTCTTATTACATCTTACACCCCTTTTCCCAGCTGCTGTGTTTGTGCTTCTTCAGGCCGCACTGTCAAGTTGAGGTCC